GCAGCAATGTAGTTCCACTTGAGTAAATCTGAGAACACGTATTATTATTAACTGCAAGTCGAGTTTCTCAACTTCTTATCTACGCAAGTTTCATTTTTATTTAAAAAGTTGCAAACACGTGTCGCTATTTTAACTAACACACAGAACAACCATTAATTAGTATCTGTTCGAACTTCATTGGTGATATTGATTTTAATCATTTTCGTCGAACGAGCTTCGTCAATATTGTTGGTAGGCCGCTGTTAATTATCGGGAAGTACCTGCTTCAACGAAATTCTTGCTAATTACGTTCCACGGTGTGGTGGATTATTACCGACAATTGGAAAATGAAGTGCCCCCCCAAACTTCAATACGATCTTGTTCGGTATTCAGATTTCCGAACGGGAATGTTAACTACATTTTTATGATATAATCCTCGTAACCAGCCAAGATATAAATTCCGATTTTTCCGGTTTTGCCGCGGAGAACTCGTTCCCGGCTTCGACAGCGGTGCATTCCGATAGCGCTTGTCACATAAATATAAACGAACCGTGGAAAAGTCGATAAGCAGACGCCGTTTAAAAAAGGCTGTGTACAGTTCCAGGTTCGACTCATTTGCATACGCTTTAATTAGGACAAATGTGTTCGGGTGAAAAGCGGATAATTCCGATCTCTCGTTGCAACGTAGTTTCAACGACGAGTTGAATTTCCTCGTCAATGGTATTCGTCGCACCGCGTCCCGCCCACGCGAGAACTTGTAATCTTAACGAGAACCTTGCAATGTTCGAGTCCGACACCGGCACGGGGAGTACGCGTTTTCAACTTTCTGAAACTGAATTTAGGGACGTAACGGGACAGAGCGAGCGCGTTCAATACCGTTTTCTCAGCTCTGCTTGTCGAGACGGTCGCAGCCAATCGAGCACCGAGCAAAATATTTAAACTCGCTGTAGTTATGGGATACTTTCGCCTGGAGCTCGTCTCGGTTTCGAGAATCCTGCTACCCGGTTCGACGAGATAATATTTGCAGTCTTCCTCGATGCAACATGAACATGCAACTTCTTCTTCTTCTTATTTCTCCAGCGACCAGGCATGCTGCTTTGTTAATGATCAGACCGAGCGTCCAGGTGTGTCGCTGATCACCGAGCTTCTTTGGCAAATTTGTTTGTTCACGACCGTCGTGAAACGCCGCATCATTATTAGTAATTTCATCGATCGCGCATCGATCACGTTTTAAGTATTATTGNATGAAACAGCTACTAGATTTTTATATTATAATAAAAAATGAAGTCGTCGAATGAAAAACAAAAGGCGCGGGAGCATTAATAATAGGCTAGAGTAGCTTCTTAAAGGGTTAAGTGGTGGTCAGTTATTCGCACGCCTTTAGCACGCCTCGGCTACGATAACGAATAGTCATTAAACTGCGGATTTTATGCATTTCTAAAAGAGCCGAATAATTCCACAGAATATAAACACTATATATAATATAGAAATATATAGAAAATATTAAAATCACATTTCTGAATCAGATTTGCACAATTCGATGAAATAAAATCTGTACTATTTTTTGCAGGCATTGCTGGAGGAGCTATGTGGGCCAAGAAATTTTTCATCTTCAATAAGAAACTGTTTTGAACAATAAAAGATCGCTTTACATTCGACGTGGAAGAGTTTGCAAGTTTATCAAGAAGCTTCAGACTTTCCAATCACCCCAGGGGGAGGAGTATGAAGCCAAAAAATCGACGATTAAGGTTTGTCGTTGATAGCAACTAACTGAACTTGATTCGCGCAAAGTAGAAAGTCGAAAGAGGTGGGGAGAAGTAGAGTGCAGCAACGAGCTGCAACATGTACGGGAAGCACCGTTGATTAGAAAAGATCGACGTCGGTGCAACCTGCAGTGGTCCTTCGGGTTCAAAGGGGGAAATCATCTGATTCGTTTAACGAGATCGAACTTGGGAGCACAACCACTATTGACCACATCGAGTGTCCCTGGTCGACGATCGATCGATCGTGAGAAGCGTGCGGAGGCGGAATACGCTAAAGGGTGGGGTAATTCAGGAAGGTTTCACGATCGCCTCGTTGACAGCGCAGTATTGGCTGAGACAAGAAGATGAGGATCGCACAGTTACTGTTGATCGCGTTTCTCTGCGCCGCGGAATCGCTGGCCAGTTGCCAGGACGATGGAATCTGGTTCAGGACGAATCCAACCGACGACAACGAACACGCATTCAAGACTGCTGATTACGTGGACCGGAACGTGCAAGAAGCCACGGCCCATGGACGCTTCGAAAGAGACTTGGATGGTCTCGTCGAGCCGCTTTACGGACAACACGTACCCTACAGGGGCAGTAGAGCCATCGATGTTTCCAGGTACTTCGATATCACATGCTTTCTCTCTCTAATACAATTTATATACTTGATGATGAAGTATGATCAGGATTTTTGCACGTTACTTTACATTAATATCTGGGAAAAGTACTGCAATTCTTAAAAATATTCGTACACGTTTGAGACCATCTGTGAAGTCTAATATTAAGGAAAATTCTCTAAAAGAATTCTCGAAAAGAAAATTTCGAAAATCCTCGAAGAAAATTTCTCGAAAAGAAAATTTTCATAAATCCGAATACCCGTCGCACTTACGTTAATGGAATTGAATTGTTATTCGAAATGATCGCAGATCTACGGAAGCCAACACGAAATTGACCCAACAGCCAGGAACACAATCGAACCTTCCAAAACCGAGCACGAAACCGTCGACCACGTACAGACCGATACGCCGAAAGAACGTGACGATAGGCGACGGTATATGCCAAAGCATCGACATTCGTAACAGCGCGGCCGCTTTCGAGATCATGAAGGACTGCCAGGTGATAGAAGGTTTTCTACAGATCGTCCTGATCGAGAACAACTCCGAGAAAGATTTCAAACAGATCAGCTATCCGAAACTACGTGAGATCACCGGATACTTTCTACTTTACCGCGTCAACGGCTTGAAGACCCTCAGCAATCTGTTCCCGAATCTTGAAGTAATCCGAGGGAACATCCTGCTGACGGATTACGCTTTCATGGTGTACGAGATGCAAAATTTACAGGAAGTAAGTACACGGCAAATTCATATACAGGGTGGTCCACCAGACATTATCAAATTAACACATCTTGCGCGGGAAGCGACTAAAGTCGTTTTTCACGGACTATTGATGGATTATTGTTATCGATGGGTTTTTGTGATGATTTTACAATAAGATCAGATAAACATGAGTTGCAGAAATACAAAAGGTGCGTTGCAAGAATGAATTCCTATGAATTCGTTTTGCTGACACGATTACGTTGTAATACGCTAAAGATTCGAAAGAAATCGCCCTCTACACGGTAAGGGTTTGGCGACAAAGTGCCCGCACAAGATGTGTTAATTATTTGATTGCTCTTTAATTAATTCATTCGAGACGACCTCTCATGCCTGACGTCATACAAGTTGGTTCGTCAGACTATACTACTCACAATAATAACGATGAAAATCGAGGTGGTAATACCTGACGGACCACCCTATATACACAGTACATGTAGAATAAAAAGTAAGCGCGGGTCGATCGAACGAAACCTCTATTTGACGAGCAAATATTGTCCAGAGGATGAGAGTGGCTTAAATATCAGACACCACATGTTATTTTTAAAAATACAATCGGCAAATATTCCCCTATGGAAGTATCGTTTTACTCTTTTTAACTTCGATCGAAAAATTGAATAGCCAAACAGAACTGTTTTCTCTTATTAAAAGAGAAATACTTTTGCTCGGTATAACGAGAGAGCAATAATATATTTAAATTATCGGAATTATAAAAGAATTTAGTGTTTCTCTAAACGAAGCCCGAAGATTCATGAGAAGAAGAAATGATACAATGTAACTAATTGTTGAAGCTAAAACTAATTTTGTACTACGTGAGTCTGCGAAAATGTGGATAAGACGAGCGAAACGAATCGATTTACGTTTCGGATCGATTCCCACGTTCGCAGCAGTGGGGCTTCCCTCGGATGCGTTCTCTGCACGGAGGAGCCAGTTGACTCGCCGGGTCAATTGACGTTAATTAACCAATCGAATTAAGCAGTCGTTTGACCTTTGGCTGGCGGTTACCTCTTGCATCAAGGCTGAATCCACGCCATGGCGTAATGAATCTCTCGTTTTTTTTTCAGATCGGCTTGAAAAAACTCACGGAGATCTCGAGGGGCAGCGTACGGATCGAGAAGAACCCAACGTTGTGCTACACCAACACAGTCGAGTGGAACAAGATCGTTTCCGCAGGGGAGAACGTTATCAAGGACAATGGCCAGGAAGCTTCTTGCCCTGGTACTTTCATTTTATTATTACTTTCATTA